TGATAATAAGTTGAAATTCGTGGAAACCCTAGAGGCCATCACTGACCGGAAGACAAAGATTTTGAGGAATAAAGAAATCAGTCTAGTGAAAGTCCAGTGGTGTTTTCATAAGGGTCAAAAGCTACTTGGAAACTAGAGTCAGAAATGAGAGCTAAATATCTTTAGTTGTTTGATTGAATGAATTTAGGAATGAAATCTTTTGAGGGGAGGATAATGTGATAACCAGTTTATCAGTTATAAAAGTTCGGGGTTGTTTTTGAATAAAGATGGTAAGTTGAGGGGTTTGATGTGTTAATATGCTTAATATGTTTTTAAAACCCCACCACCTCATACTTATTTATGTTTGTTTATGATTTAATTGTTTTATCTAATTGGGTTGTGAAAAGTAAAAAGAAAGAAAAGTTGGTAAAAGCTTCTATGTGTGTGTTCTCTTGAGTGAGAAGCAAAACAAAAACCAAATGAGGAGAAAGAAAAAGTTGATTATGTGATTTTTAATCTGAATACCTGCTGCCGTTTGTCTATATTTTTGTGAATCAAGGCGAGTTTTAATTTAAAAATCTTTTATCTTACTGTGTTAAATAGAACCGTATGGTTTTTTTACGTGGGGAAGTTTTGAAACTGTTATTATGCTATTTCTAGCAGGATTTTGTATTTTGATATGTTAACATCAAATGATTGGAATATGGATGTCATAATCAGGAGAGATGTATTATGGGGTAAGAGAGACATAATCAGGAGAGTTGTATTATGGGATAAGGGTGACATAATTAGGAGAGACGTTTTTTGGGATGAGGGTGGCATAATCAAGAGAGAAGTATTATGAGTTAAGGGTAGCATAATCAACGAAATGTGAAAATTGGGATTTTGAATCGTATGAAAAACTGTTATCGCATCTTTATGATGCGATGACTTTGAGTTATCGCACCTGTGTGATGCGATGAGTTGTTTTTATCGCATCCTTGTGATGCGAGAAGGGAGTTTTGCCGTATCCTTGTGATGCGACAAATTGAGTTGTCGCATCCTATTGATGCGACAAGGTGTGTTTATCGCATACATTAGATGTGATGAGATGGGTCATCGCACATGTGTGATGCGAGAAAATGGGGTTGTCTCACCCATGTGATGCGAGAAAATTATGGTTTTATCTATATGATGCGACAAGTTTATGTGTTATGTGATAAATGGTTTATTTTATTATTTGATGCGATAAGTGGGTATTGTCTCATCATTTTGATGCAACAAAAAGATGTTTGTTTGAAAAAATGTTATTTATTTGTTATTTATACAATTATGACTTTTATAAAAAGTGTTGTGATGATTTTTACCCTGTAATAGCAACCAAAATGATTTCTCACTAGACCTTTGTCTAACCCTCATTTTGGTGTTTTAAAATGTACATTATAGGTCAGGTACAATCGGATGATAAGGGGAAAGAGAAATTATAAAGAATTTATGATTGCTTGCATGTGGATTTTTAGGATGATTTGATGTTATCTGTACCTGATTACCTGTTATGTATATAAGTCTTGTACTGAGATTATGTGAAAAAATTTGGTAGCTACTTCTGTAATGTAGGTTTTGTATATAGTGGGACCAAATGTGTAATTTTTTTTTTTTCATGATATATGAAATATGTGGTTATATGCAAATGCAATTTTGGAATGTTACATATCATTCTATTGATGAAGAGGAAGGCAGTAGATGAAGCAACATTTGCTGAAAGAAGAAAGAGTAGAGATCTAAAGGCACCTCTTTTGCAAGTCAAACATTTGTTGTATCTCCACCAATCCCTTCTACAACCTTTGAAAGAATTAAGATTGGCATATAAGAAGTATGTATTCCTTACCCTTACCCTTGATGTTGGTTTGTTCTATGAAACAAACCTATGTGAAAAGATACATAAGGTATAAAGATATATAGATTATCTACAATATTTGCTCCTTATTATCAGTGTAAGAACAACTATTGGAGCAAGATATTATGTGCAATTCGAGAAGATTTTCCGGTCAAGAAAAACAATTATTCGTCAAAGTTATTTTTCATCTCCCTCTACTTCTTTTGGAGTAGCTAAATTTGTGAAGGAGAAAAAGTTCTTAATCTGTGTAATATTTTATTTCTTTTTGTAATGTACCGTGTAACCAATTGAAATGAAAGTTATATTTTTCCATTCAATCCAAAAGAATTAAGAGGGTGATACAGTTATTAGTTGTTGAGTTTGTTCAACATTCAAAATCTATCCCCATTGTATTATTCTTTCATTCAAGTGTTTTATTATTTAATTGGTAGATTTTGTTATCATTAAATAAGAGGAGATTGTTGAACCCTTATTAAATTAGAAGATTTGGTTATTGTGTAGGATTAATAGAACAATCAATTTTTTTCCTAGAGAATTTGAAACTTTTAGATTTGTAAATTCTCTTTTTTTTTCAATTTTAGAGATTTGTGATAGTAAAAAAATATCTCTCTTTATTTCAGAAAACTTGTTAGAAATATTTTATGACAATCTTTAAAAAAAAATTCTGTAATTTCTTCCAAATAAGGAAAAGGAAATTCAAAATCTTAATAAATTACATAAAGTTTTAATATTTTCTTATTTTTAAAGATTCTATATTAATTATAAAATTAAAATATTCAATATATTTAGTATCTAAATAAATAGTTGATAAATTAATAAAATTAATAATTTTATGTTATCTCTCGCTCTCCTCCCAGCTCCGAAATGACTTTCAGGTTCTTGTTTTAATATTTTTTTTCCACTCACACATTAATGAAGAATTAGTTATATGTCTCATATTTTCACCATTTTGAAAATTTTATGGATTAAGAAAATTTTCAATATTTTTTTAATAAAATAATTGAGTAAATTACAAAAATCATTTATGAGGTTTTCCAAAACTGTGGTCTTCGTTTCTAGATTTTCCAAATTAGAAGAATGAACATATTTTTTTTATTAACCTGTATATTCAACCTGTTATGTGAACCGACTAATCCATTACATGTTTTGCAGGTAGTCTGGAATCATTATATTTGAATCTCCATGGGCATAAGTAAATTTTTATTCCTTCTTATATTTAAACCTAAAACCTTTAGATACTTTTAACCGTTGAAGTCAAACTAAAACTTTGAAATTAAATCAATTTAGTCATCATGCATTTTAGTACAAAACAAGACCTGATCTAATTAAACACCCCTCCCTTTATTTCATCCCTGCAACTACACCTACTCGACCCCACCCCCTGTCTGTGAATGAATGCAAGTTCCCTTGCAGTTTCTGCACTTCTCTCCACCAACCACAACACCTTTCAACCTCCAAATTCATTCGCCTATCTCCATCCCCTCAACCTCCAGTTTCATCTCTCCACCATGCCACCCCTCAATCTTCATCTTCATCCCCTCCGTCTTCTCCCTTAGATGCATGAACTAGTGTGAACATACCCATAAGCAAAATCATTCACTTTGCCAACTTACCAACAAAGAAAATTCATGAGGAGCTCAAAATCTTCAAATATTGAGAAAAATGAGCATTACAAAAACAAAAACAAAAACAAAAACAAATGCAAATAACTAAATTTAAGAACAGTCAGGAAAGAAACCCATAAAATGGGAACACAATCATTCAAATCACCAACTCACCAAAACTGTGATAAAATTGCTTTGAATCAAGATGAATATGGAGATGAAGACGGAGAAGTGCTTGATTTCTTTGTTTAATGTTCTTGAGACTTTTTGATTTGAATCGATGATGAAAAACGAATTTACCTCAGGACTTTGTTTGTTCTTAAGGTCAACCATAATCACAGTTTCAGTTTCAGTGATGTTATCAACCATAGACTCTTGGTGACTTCAGCGGCAAATCCTTATGAGTTGAGTTTCCGCTAAAGGACCTCACTGGATTCAGCTCTATTGATCACAATAACAGTTGATCAGTACTATTACAATATTTATTATAAGTGTATTCCAATCATTAAATCAGTAATAGCTTCTAAACTATCTTTTTCTATTTGATGATGATAAAGCAATATCAGAAAAACTTTTCCATTCAGGAGACTGACTTCAACGAGGATTTTTCTGATCTTAGGAGCCGTTTACCAAACACTTATCCGGTAAATGCTTACAAGGTTGTCATTAGATAACCAGTAAACCTTAAGAATTATGATGAAGTTAAGAACCATGTGGTGCTCTTAGTGAGAAGAGTGTGATTTTCAAACTTCCCAAGCACTTGCATGTTCATATTAGCTTTATGGAGGCGGGTAAAATTCCTTCCGGTAGTTGACCAAGTTCTAGAGTTAGATGTTGATCATCCTTGAATAGGTGTAGGATAACCTCCTAAAAAATGTTTGCATATTCATTCAGTTCTAAGGTAGTGATATACCAATCACTCTTGTCTCATATTCTCTGCTTGGCATATAAAGTAAATGTTTTATAAATTAATTATCAAAAAAATATAACACCATTCAATTCCATTTTTTTTTCTATAAACTTAATGCTTCAAATTCAATTTTGAAAACAACCTTGTTATATTAAAAACTAATAAGATTTGATCAATTATTTTGGGATAAATTTAGTAAAATAAAAAATAATAATCAGAGACAATCATTTGAATAGGTATGGCTGAGAAAATCAGATCCCAAACTTGGCATTATCTGAGTGGAGAAATTATGGAGGGTGTTATTAATTAATTAATTGATTGATTGATTAATTAAGTAAGTAACATAACATGGGTTTTGCTCTATAAATACCCTCATTTCTTCCAATATATAATCAAATTAAATATTTAAAACAAAGTATTTCTTTATTTGATAATTGGGAAGAACAGAAAGAAACATGAGGATGGAGGTAAGTTATTCGTTTCGTTTTTAAAGCCAGAATGTTCATAAACCATACTCAGATGATCAATGAATGAACTCGCTTGGGTTTGATATCATTTTAAAAATAAATATAAATACTAATCATGTTATACGATTGTTTTCTAGGGTGATGGAGGGACAGTGCACTACCAAATGGAATATTACTACGAGCTTACGGGGTTTGTTTTACTTTTGTTCCTATGTGTTCACTGGGTTAACCGTCGCCACCGTCACCGCCGCCATTTGGAGAAGCTCAGGTGTCTACCACCTGGGCCCACACCATGGCCGGTGGTCGGAAACATCTTTCAGCTGGCCTTTGTAAAGGTACCTCACGAATCATTTGCTCAACTGGCTCGTGTTCATGGTCCCAACATCATGACCCTTTGGCTAGGCTCCATGTGCACGGTGGTCATCTCCTCCAACGAGGCGGCACGTGAGATGTTCAAGAACCATGATGTGGTGCTCGCGGGTCGGAAGATCTACGAGTGCATGAAAGGAGACTTCGGAGAGGAGCTGGGGTCCATGATAACTGCGCAATATGGCCCAAAATGGCGAATGTTGAGAAGACTATGTAACACAGAATTCTTCTTGAACAGTCGCTTGGATGCCACTTCCGGGATCCGCCATAGATGCATCGACAAAATGATGCAATCTATGCACGAAGCTAGTGGCAGTGGTGCTAATAGCATTGATGTGGGTAGGTTTTTCTTCTTGATGGCGTTTAATCTGATTGGAAACTTGATGTTTTCGAAGGATCTTTTGGATTCAAAGTCGAAGAAAGGAGCAAGATTCTTTCATCATGCTGGAAAGGTGATGGAATACGGTGGAAAACCTAATGTGGCTGATTTTATGCCCTTTTTGAAGTGGCTTGATCCACAAGGAATAAGGAAAAACATGCAACTTCATGTGCGTAAAGCTTTTCGTATAGCTGGAGGATTCATCGAAGAACGAATGGTTGGCTTAGAAGAGAAGGCCAATAAGAGAAGCAAGGATTTCTTGGATGTGCTGTTGGAGTATCGTGGGGATGATATAGAAGGACCCTCTGTGTTGTCTTCGACAACCATCAATATTATCGTGTTCGTAAGTCTCGAAAAACCTATTACTTTTAGCTTTTATACAAAGGTCATGTTTGAAAACTATAAACTAATTTATTTTTTGAGCTTAATCGGAAAAAACTCTGTTTAGTAAGTCATAAATTAGGTATTTGGAGAAAATTCCACCATCTCTAGTATTTTCTTTCTCTATTTTGAAGAGGTTGATGGAGATGCTCTTGTATATGAGAACTGAGTAATATTTCAACATGAACTTAAGTTATTTTGCACTGTCATCAAACTTATCAGCTAGCTTTTATTTATGAACAATCAGTTTATAAGATAACAATTAGTTAATCACAGTTTTTAAGATCAAAACCATCATTTTGTGCAAAAGAGATCTCTTAATGCATATATAACCTAACTAAAGAATTCGAGAAATAAAATGTGTAAAGGTGTGATTGTGAGTAACAAAATTTAGTAGTAGAAAATGAATATTTTTGTTCGGTTTATTTTTGTACCGAAACAAAACCTTATTATCCATAAGCCAAACAAAAGTGACTTTTGTCCCTAGCTATTGTGTTTCGAATCTTGTCTCATGTACCTAAATGAATTTGCAACAGGAAATGTTCACTGCGGGGACTGATACTACTACAAGCACCTTAGAATGGGCAATGGCTGAACTGCTACATAACCCTCATATTTATGAAAAGTTGAAAACGGAATTGCGAAACACAATTTCCCCTGATGAAAAGTTTGAAGAGAAGCACATCGACCATCTACCTTACCTCAAAGCTGTGATCAAAGAAACACTCAGGCTTCACCCACCGCTCCCTTTCTTAGTCCCCCACATGGCAATGCAATCATGCCAGATGATGGGGTACAATATCCCGAAGGAAACCCAAGTGTTGGTGAATGTCTGGGCGATTGGGCGTGATCCTAGGACATGGGAAGATGCATTGGAGTTCAAGCCAGATAGGTTCTTGGAAAGGGACAAGATGGTCGACTACAAAGGGCAACATTTTGAATTTATACCATTTGGTTCTGGGCGAAGGATGTGTCCTGCTATACCACTCGTCTCAAGACTGCTTCCAATGGCTTTGGGCTCGATTTTGCATAAGTTTGATTGGATTTTGGGGGATGGGGTTAAGGCAAAGGAGCTCGATATGAGTGAAAGAATGGGTATAACTCTTAGGAAAGCTATTCCTTTGAAAGCCATACCGATTCCATACTAGGATAGAAGTTGGAGATGTTTTAAATGATTGTAAGATAAATCTTTATCATGTATAGAGTATTGAAAACGAAAAGGAAAAAAAGAGCGAGTATTGTAACAATTCAGTAAATAAAGTGGCACTTCCTTAAATATTAAGGTTTATACGTGAGTTCGAAGATGTTGTTGATCAATGTTTAAAAATTGTGATGGAGATTTATGAAAAAACACACTTGGTGGACAAATCATATAAAAATGAAAGTTACGTGGGCAAAATATATGAAATGAAAGTTGAGTGAAGTTTTAGCAAAATGTCAAAGATCTTTTTCGGAATTAGTTAAAACTAGTTTTGTGCACTGCATGTTGCACGATTACGATGATTTTTTATAGATAAAAAATAAAATTAATATTGAAATATTACAATGTCAGCTTTTATATATATATATATATATATATCATTTTCTTTTATTAAAGTTATAGACTATAAATAATATAATTAATTTATTGACCTTATGTTACGATCAATCATTATAATATATAATTAAAACTTTAAATCATCATTAAATAAATCTGTTCAAAATTTTAAACAGAACAACTTTTTTTTATTTACCGAATATATAAAAAAATTAAAATTTTCTAATTTTCATACAAAGTCTTTAATTCCGCCGCCTGCATAGCAAAATCAATCTATACTCAATAAAAAACATCATTCTTTTCATTACGTATTTTAAATATGATATTATGTAAACAAATAAATAAAACTTTAAACAAATTTAAATAATTTTAATCATAATAAAACAAAAAACACATATCATATAATATAAATAATTTAATAAAAGCAAACAAATACATATACAAAACCACATGAATATCACATTTTATTTATTTTCAAATAAATAAATACATTAACATCATTTTAAGTGTTCTTTTAAATACCAGACATTCACATACATACTGGTTTATTAATAACTACAATATAAAGAATGACATAAAAACTACAAATTGAGAAACTCTACAAGTATAAAAAAATGGAGAGAAAAATTTATAATAACAAAACTCCACATAGATCACACTTAATCATAATTTGATTGTTGTCATAAAACAAAATATAAAACTTGAATAAATACAAAATATTAATAAAACAAAATTATGCAACATAAAAAGATACATAAAAAGAACACACACACAACATAAATAACTTCCAAAAATAAGAATGATGAAGAACCATAGTCAATAAAATATAATAGACAAGAAAGTTTTGAACAAAACATTCGTCAACAACTGATAAGTTATATCTCACACCTTTAGACTAATGAAATGGACCACAAAGCAAGTATACAATCGGTCCAATGTCTTCTTTCCAAGTAATAAAGTGGTACAAGTACCGGATTATCGTCCATGGAGATTGTAGCAAAAGTTAAATAATAGTCCAATGAAAGAGATGATTTCAGATGATGATTTTGAAGACTTTTGTTTGATGTAAAGGTGATTTAAAACAGATTACATAATATAAAAGGAGAGCAAGGGTGTAAGACTTGTGGTGAGATCAAAACACAAATTCCAGTAGCCAATGCTATAGGAATGCTACAGCAAACAATGTTTCAAAACTTAGTTCCACCATCTATTTTGAAGGTATTCCTCTCGAATTTCACCATTGCACTATATTATAGCTTTCCATCCATATCTCTATGTGGTGTCCGGACTAGGGATAGTGACAAGATGGTGTCTTCAAAATATATGGATAAACAAATCTATTTGTTAAAAATCACTCTCTCGAGTTGATTCTCATATCATTCGAGTTGGCGTGTGTTCTAGATAGTTCATCTCTGAATCTATTGCACTTTGACACTTTTAAAGAGTGACCAACCCATCGGGAGTTAAGTTTGAAAAACATAAATGACAAGTCTCCTTATCGGCAACTTTCTCAAATCTACCTCTTATATCATTCAAGTTGACGTGCATTCAATGACTTATCTCTAAGTCCATGACACTTTAACACTTTCAAAGTGATCAACCCGTCAAGAAGTGTGCTTGGTTTTATATAAACTCAAATGAAACAATGGAACGTCGTTTATGAAAACATTTAGCTACTTTCTTTTTGTTTGAAAATCTCACATTTCCATCTCACACCCAAGCTATATAAACTTAGCTACTCATAACGGAAAGTAAATTACAAGTAAAATAAATGACGGAAAGTAAAGACATAAATGTAAATTGCGAAAAATAAATGACGAGAAAATAAATGACGAGAAAGTAAATTGCGGAAATTAAATAATGGAAAGTAAATGACAATAAACGTAAAAGAACGTAATATAAAGAACGGAAATTAAAAGACGAGAAATTAAAGATGAAAAACTAAAAATTAAGAACTTTGTATTTCTTCAAAAGTTACTATAAATCACCCTTGGAGAGGGTTGATTTTTAAAGCTAGATGATGTTAGAGTGTCCAAAAAATGAAACCCAAGCTAGGTATGGCAACGGGCCGGGTTCGGGCCAGGTATTGGTATCCCCGTCCCCGAAACCGATAGCTAAAACCGTCTCCGTAACAGCCCGATCCCCGTCGGGGATCTTATCGAGGATCCCCATCGGGTCCCTGCGGTTTCCCCGATGCCTGTTGGGGAACCCGTTAAGGTTAAAAATTATTTTTTTCACCGTTGGTTATAACCGAAACCCGAACCCGAAACCGAAACCAGAAACCGATCTGGAAAAAATTACAATATGTTAATTTTTACAATTAAAAGTAAATTACAATTTTTTGAAGATGTAAGTTTAAATGTCTCAAACATAATCGAACCAATTACAAACAATGTATTATATTACAATATAAAACTAAATAAAAATTCAGACATCATACAATTAAAATCACGATTTTAGACAAAAAAAATAGACTTTTTCGTGAGCTTTATTTGGGTTATTGAGATAAAGTGGATAATTTTTTTTTAAAATTTTAATGTTGATAGCAACATTTAATGATATTATATGTATATATATGTATGTATGTATGTATATAAATTAAAATTAATATATATAAATACATATCAGGTCGGGCCGGGCCGGTGATCACCGTTCCCGCCCCCGTCCCCGTTAAAATCCCCGAATTCATCCCTGATCCCCGCACCGTCCCCGATAATGTGTCCCCGAACCCGGCCCGAAAGTTTGGGTTTTCGGTTTTCACCATCAGTTTCGGTTTTTTTTGCCATCTCTAACCCAAACCCTCTTTTTATACCCAAAAGAGGCACTAAAAGACAAAAGATACAAACCTTAAGGGATAAGTATCATAAACAAGTTACAAAGTACAATTAGAGTAACTAAAAAATACAATAACCTAACAAGAGTCTTAACTACATATTTTAAACAAAAAGTCAGTCTCTACAGCTATCTTCCACAAAGTACAAAAAGACAGCGGCTTAATCAATAAGTCCTCCAAAAAGCTGCGCATGAATCAGATAGTCGCTGCTCCAATGCTGTATCATCTTGCTGTTTTAACAAAAACTCTCCATTAGCTTCTTCCTTGAGTACCAACAAGTTAACCACAATATTTAGCTTCATAATAACAAAGGTATAAAATAATAAATAAAAATGACTCAAAGTGGAAATTAAAGGAAACTAATTTAACTAATAAAACGTAAAACAAGTGCTTTATATGTTGAATTTTCAACATACATCAACAACATATAACCCATACAAATCATAAATTAAGATGTAATATTTGTTATTCGAAAAAGTTTATAGAGGAATAATATCCGATATGGACAATAAAAACATTCTACATAACAAAAAATACAATAATATAATGCATAGAAAAACAAATGTAATAATAATTAACAAAATATAATAACATGGAATAAAAAACAACCATCAACAACAAATAACCCACACAAATCATAAATATTAAATGTAACAATTCTTACATGCATTTTATGGAAGAAAAATGATATCAACGATAAAAAATTCCGAAAAAAAAAATACAACACATCAATAACAACAAATAGCTTACATAAAAACATAAAATAAACCATAAAGAATGTAGTTTCCATCTTGATTTAGACATTCGATTGTGTAGTTTGCAATATGATGGAAGAATTAATAAAACAAAAGAAAAAACGTTAAATGAGATATAATATATAGATGGTATAAAAAACGAAATTGAAAAACGAAAAGTCTAGAACATTTATGAATTAATGAAAACGAATTAATATAACCAACAAAATAAATCTAAAAATATCTAAAAATTTGAAAAAAAAAAGAATTATAAAATAACTTATTCACAAGGTGTCACATGAGAAACTTCATATTTTACTTTTAGATTTATATAAAATAATGATGTCAAATGCTCAATTAAGGACATCTCTGGCTTGGAAATGTTGTTTTCATTTTTTGAGAAAATAATGAAATATACATTGTTTACTCACGAGTAAAAAAAAATATAACTTATTTAACATTTCATAAGTTCAAAATAATGAGAAAATCTCTTTTAAAAATCATCTTGTAACAATGTGTCACACCATTTATTGTAAGTTTATTTTAATTAGTAGATGAAAAGATGAAAATAGTATAATGAATATTCCTAGGAAGTTGTGTAATGTGAAAATTAAAACTAATTAAGTTGGAAGTGATCAAAGAAGCCTTATTATAATGAAATACATATTTATAATTCAGTGGTAGAATAGTCTATAACTTATTTAATATTATAAAAACATTGACAAATCATGGAGGAGCACATGAAAGGGTTTCGAGGTTTCATCTCCAAGAATGAAGTTGAAAATGGTGAAGGTTAAACTTTTTAAAATTACCAAAACAACTTATTCTAAAGAATTTCATGTTCTAAAAATCGGGATGGAAAAGTATTTTACATATCAAATATTTTAAAAAATCAAAAATCTAAGAAAAAGAAAGATATGTTTCTAATGTTTAGAGAAAGACACCTCATTATATTTGGTTTCTCCTTTAATATATATATATATATATATATATATATATATATATATGTATATATATATGTATAT